GTCGTGAGTGGGCTGTCCGGTGGGGCAGCCCCGGTGGTGGAGCCTGGGGTGCTACTACTGGAGGTCCCTGTGATTCTACTCCTGCTGGTAGTGCCGCTGGTAGTCGCGGAGGTTCTGGGGGTGGATAGCAGCAGCAGCAGCGTCTGCCGGAGACTCTCTCCCCGCAGCAGCTTCATGAGTGGGCTGTCCAGTGGGGCAGGCCCGGTGGCGGAGGGTCTCGGAGTACACGTACTGGGGGTGTAGAGGCACCTGGAGCTGTAGCGGATGCTAGTCTTGGTGCTGTTGACTCAGCTAGCGCAGGTGCAGAGCCTGAGGAGGCCTTGCACACTTTTACTCTCGACTCAGGCGCGTCTCGTTGCTTCTTCCGCGACAACACCACAGTCACACTGCTCACAGTCCCTATCCCTGTCACACTTGCTGACCCCTCCGGGGGCCCGGTAGTTGCGCGTGGCGCTACTGTTCTCCCTTGTCCGGCGGCCCCTTCCGGCCTCCTCACAGGTCTCCACCTCCCCTCGTTCGCAAAGAACTTGGTGGCTACCTCTGTCCTCCAGGACCAGTGGGTCACTGTCACCCAGCCTGGAGGCGAGCTAGTGACGATCTGCACGGACTCGCGCCCTGGTGAGCACCTCGACACGTTCACTCGGAGACCTGGGTCTGGCCTGTACACACTGACCACTGAGTCTGCACCGGTAGCTGAGTCAGGTCCGGTAGTTGCGTCGGTTGAGGTCGCTGCGACTTGCTCGTGTCGTCTCCTCACGCACCAGACTCTCCTCTGGCACCACCGTCTTGGCCACCCCTCCCTGCCACGCCTTCGTGGCATGCACTCCCGTCTCCTTCTCTTTGGGCTTCCCAGGACCCTGCCCCCTCTCCCGAGGTCGCTTGCGCCGCCGTGCCTTCCCTGCGTCGAGGGGCGGCAGTGTGCCGCTCCTCACTCCTCCTCGTTTCCTCCGACCACAGCTTCTCTGCAGACCCTCCACATGGACGTGTGGGGTCCATCCCGAGTCCCTGGACAGGGCGGAGAGCGCTACTTCTTGCTGGTTGTAGACGACTACACGCGCTACACCACGGTCTTCCCCTTGCCGAGCAAGGCGGAGGTCCGCAGTGTTCTGATCCGCTTGATCCGTGCTGTCCGTCGCCAGCTCAGTGCTCGGTTTTAGCAGGACCTCCCGGTCTTGCGACTGCACTCTGACCCTCTGGGTACAAACATACTAGTTGGAAACCCTAATGGGTTGTACCCCCTAATAAGTACCCCAATATAGCCTACAGTGAGATATTACATTTGACACACCCCCATAGGCTAAGTGGGGGACAATAAACAGTCACAAGACCAGTCAAGAGAAGAAGCAAATAACAAAGCTCAGGGTGGATCTCAAGATCACCACGCATTTTGAGCACAAGCAAGCGGCCACAAGGCCAGTTCACATACAAAGTTATAATAGCACAAGCAGTACAATGATTACAACCTACAACCCTTACTTATTATATGTGCACCCCTTTGGTTATATATATATATATATGTATGTATATAACCAAAGGGGTGCGCATATAATAAGTAAGGGTTTCTAAAGTGGTGTGCTTAAAATCGAGGATCTACCATAGGCGCATTGCTCCATATAGAAGTGCATGCGCTTAACATAGGCCTGCGCTTATATCTGGGGCCATGCGGTACTATTCAACTGCTTTTGACTTATTCGGCTATATTACTAGCCTATTTGGAAGCTTCCACAAACCATCCCTCTACGGAACAGACCCCTGCCCCCGAACATGGACCCTCGATGCAAAGGAATGATTTAAGAGCCTTGCATGAAGCAGGCGATGGTCAGACTCAGTTGTTTGTTGCAACAACAACAGCTACACATTATCATGTAAATTCTCGTCCTACCCTTGCGTACTTCAAATAAAACATGGACTCGTTGATTTTACCATTCAGTTTCAATAAAAAATATTCCTGATCTGGAAGCCCACCACCGTTGGAGTAACCCAAGCAATATGCCTGGCACCGAGGCCAAAAGACTTGTGCATGAGTGAATCCTAAGTCGTATTCAAATCATGAAGTGGCCCGGTTAGTAGAATGGGCACTTCCGAAGGATGAGGTTCCAGGTTCAAACCCCAATGTCGGCGAGTTCTGCCAGCCCCCCAAAAGGGGGTTTCGCACTGCTCATCTGAGAGTGGATAGTCCTTACCTCGATACCCAGCAATGCGTGTAAACAAATGGGTAGGTGGATTACGATCCACTGCCGGGGTATTTCCAAACGGGGTTTCCCCTATAACCTTTACCTTTACCTAATTCGTTTTCAAATCCTTGGCTAACACAAAAGGGGCCTCTAGTAGCGCATTGGGCGATGCGCATGGGTGCTATGGGTGTTGTGGATCTGGTGGTGAGAACGGGCACGCGGGGTAATTGGTTGTGCCATCCCAGCCAACAGTTTTTACGCATGTCTCTCACCCACCCAATTTCCCTCCATCTCGATGTGCTTGTGAATCGTCGTACGTGACGTGGTCTGTCCACCTGGCGTCTCAGGAAGCCATTGGAGGTTTATGTGGCGAATTGATGACGCCAATACATATGTGAGTGACTGGGCAGCTCCGCATCAGCCGGGAATTTAGGTGGCGGTAGAACCTCCCACCGTTGCTTTGCTTTGATTCCCACCGATCACCGAAGGATCTGCTTGAAGCCGCTAGCGGATGAAGTCACACCTCAGGCCCGCGCACACACACCACAAATCGCACCCAGATGCATGCTCCTGGTTTCCGTTTCAATCGACCCGGCGGCTCCGCCCTTCCCCTTTGTGACTCCGTCCCACCTTTTCGTCAACTTTCCGCGCGCCCACCTCCACTTTCCGCGCGCCCACCTCCACTTTCCGCATTCCTCCGTTTCTCCGCATTTCCTGAGCTCCCACGTGGCCACCACCGTCCACATTTCTGTCCACTTCTTGCGCCCCTCGACTCACGCCCGCGCAGGCTCTGGTTGGTCCAACGGTGGGACTCCTCCCACCCACACTGATCGGTCTCTAGATTTATTGTGCTGCTCGACACTTTATCTGATCAATACCACTGTCACGATTCCTGTCAACACACTGACAGACTTGCTACTCCCCGTTGCTCTCAATTCTTGTCAGTTAACCATGGCTCTCACTCAGACTCTCGCAACCCGCTTGATTGCCACGCCTGCAACCTTTTTTTCCAAAGACTGTCAACTTGTCTCTCAGTCTCGCACAATCTCCGCTCCGCACAATGTATCCCGGATCTGCGCGTCTCTCGACTCGCAAGCCCCGAGGACTCCGCCAACTAGGCCGTCAAACGCCGAACCGTCCACCCGCACGAATGCAGCCGCTGCCGCAGCTCCAATGATGCCGTTTAACGACGCATCCAACGTGCCCCGCATATGCACATTAGTTGATTTCACGGATCGACCTCTGCCGTATGATTTCCACCCGTCTGCTTCCCCACTTTCCACTGGGTTGGGAAACGCGCTACTAGGTACCAGCGCGGCGCCATCGCAGCAGCCCCGCGCGCGTGTGCCTGCGGGGCAAGTTGACGCTCTGGGATCTGCGGGAAATTTCCTGGTCGCGACGGCTTCCGCAGTGTCGGCTTTCGTGAAGGACATTGAGACGTTGACGGGACGCCTAGCCATGGTGAGTCTGCGCCTGTCTTAAACCCTTCATTGCTGTCGCGGCCGCTAAAACTCTACATAAGAGCTCTAGCTTAATCACAGTTAAGCTCCTAATCTTAAACGGCCGTAGTTCTTGTTATCTGATCATCGTGTTCCGTCTCGCCGCGTTCCTGTGCAGATGTCGTGCGCAGCCGCGCTGGCCGCGCAAGTGCTAACCGGCGGACAGGGCCTCATTGATTAGCTCGCGCTCTCCGCGAATCCTTGGAGATGGATTTGATCCCTGTTTGCATCGTCACGCGTTTCACATAGTTGCTGGCTTCGCCAGAATGTTTGATTGATCGCGACTAAGAATTGAGGAGGCAAAGGGCGTCTTCCCCAGAAATGTGATTGCAACGGTCATGCGATACAGTGAGGTTTCATTTGAATGTCGGAGCGGAGCCGACATCAACACCAAGCCAGCACTCCTTTCGCTCTCACCCGCTTCCTCATTCCCAGCACTCCCTCCGCCTGGGCGCGTCGCTGGATGGTTGATCCACGACTACTCGCGGATGTTCAGCCGCGCAATCCCGCCACCGCCAGCTGCTATCGGCAGTTTCCCAGCGTTGCCGAGAGGCCGGCCGTTCCATGCAGTCCTCAAGCCCTTCGTTCTATGTCAGACAGAAGCAGACGTACCGTAGTATGCAGTCCTCGTATGTCATCGTATTCAATCTGCAAGAGAATAATGTTTTCCATGCAACTTCTAATGTACGTAGCCTCCACATTAGAACGTTTGTTCCCAGCCCGGTACCCAGAATGATTGTCTCCACGTGTACTTCGTGGACGTTTTGGTAAACCCAGCGGGCTTTTGTACCAGCGTATCTTCAACCATTCGACGCATGATTCATGGGCGTGTGTCATCTGCTCGGAAGCCTGCAGCAAACCCTGAAACATAACAAGCCACTCCAACATCCAATGCATCTCCCCAGTTGTCAGCCATTTTGGTGACACCCACCCCACCACTCCATTCACTACCACTAGCTTGCTTCAGATACAGCACACGGACAGTTTCTTAAAGTACTCACAAGCTTCAGACACAGCACACAACGTAGGTTTCTTGAATTAAATAAACATATAACGAAAGAATAGCAGTCATTGCAAACACCCTACAAGCTAATTGCACGCAACTGAAAAGTATCCACGCACGCGAGTCAAAATCCACACCCATCCATTAGCTCAACCACACAAAACCACCCCAAACACCTGACACCTGTCAGTCCCTGCATGTTTGACACCTCCTTCACTTTGAACACCCCCTGCAGAGATGGCAAAACCTCTCAACAGAGTGCACTACACACATACAACCAGTCTCCACCACTCCAATGATGTCACACACACAGCAGCCCATCGCTCACTCGCTGCCACTGCTGCTGTCCTCTCCGTCCCGTGCCTGCACAAACTCTATCACCTTCACCACTGAGTGGAAAGACACCTGCCGCTTCCCTGCCCTGCTCGGACTCCTACTCATCCCTGCCGCCGCCGCCGCCGCCGCCGCCGCTGCTGCTGCCTCTGATGATTCCGCTGAAGGGGCGGACGATGGAGAAGCAGCAGATAGGGCAAGACCACTCTCCTCTGCCTGGAATCCATGCTCTTCCAAACTGACAACACACCTGCTGCTGTTGGTCCCATGGCCATTGCTTGCACTGCAATCCAACCCCAGGTCTTCACCATCTCCTTGCCCCTGCTCCTCACCCTCTACCACTGCCTCTTCCCTATCCTCCCCTTTGTCCTCTCTCTCCGGCCCCTCACCCCCCCTCTCCCCTGCCCTTCCTCCCAGCCCCTGCCTGGTGAGCGAAGGGGCTCTCGGAGGCAGTGGGCGAGGGAGGGGCGGGCGGGCAGGTTCAGTCGGACTTGCATTGCTTCTAGCACCAGACCCCCCATACTCTTCTATCAAATCACACCACCGGCCCTGAATACCCGTGCTCATGCCGCCGCCGCCGCCGCCGCTGCTGCTGCTGCTGCCAATGCTACGTGGTAAACCACCAATGGCAGATGACGCCTCATGCGCCGATCCCTCTGGACCGGCCATGGATTGACTAGGCGTCGCACCACCAGGGTGCGAGGACACAAGGGACGGGGACAGACGGAACGCAAGAAGTGTCGCATCATCTTTGCTCCCGTGTTGCACGCCTGCCACACTCTCTTCCCCACGCCTCCTCCCACCCTCATACCCACTGCCGTTACCACCGCCGCTGCTGATCCTCCCTCCCCCAAGTACCCACCCCAGAGCCGAGCTAGTGGGAGGCGAGAGAGGAGGAGCATCAGAGGCGCTGCTGTTAGCGCCCCTGAGCCTCCTCTCCGCCCTCTTCTTCCTCCTCAGGTACAACTGGTCCAGGCTCAACTGCCGGTTGAACATCCCAGCACCGTCCTCCACCGTTTCCTCCTCTCGCTCCTCTCTTGCCTCCCTCTCCGCCCTGCTCAGAGACAATCCGCGCCCAAACAGCTCCCCTCGTGCTGCTGCTGCTTCATCCTCATCTGCATATGCATCTGTTGCCCCACCCCCCACTTCCCCCCTCCCAGCACTGCCGCTGTGGCTGCTGCCTTTGCCCTTGCGGTGGCCGAACAGTCTCTCCAATGAGGGAGCGCCACGTGGCAGCAGCAGCGCGTTCTGCTGCTGCTGCTGCTGCGGCTGCTGCTGTGACTGTGGCTGTAACGAGGAGCCCCGGAGGCTGAAGAACGTTTCCAGGCGGGAAGGAGGAGCAGAGCCGGATCGTGCTGTGGCTGCTGCAGCTGCTGCTCCGGCTCCCGCTGCTGCTGCGACTGCTACAGCCACAGACGACCCGGCACTTGCCATCGCACCACTGGATCCTCCAGCAATACCGGTACCACCACTACCGGCACCAGTACCTGCAGCAGCAGTATCAGCAGAGGCAGAAGCAGCAACAGTCGCAGAGGAAGTATCATTGGGGCCAGCACTGCTTCTAGCAGCCCAATCAGCCGCTGCCACTGCGCAAAATCCGGACCGTTCAGGGCTGGAAAAGGCACCACCGCGGTGGGACGTTGAGAGGAGATGAACCGACGACACACCTTCTCCTCCTCCTCCTCCTCCCTCGCCTGAACCTGCCTCCCCGCGGGAACCATAACCCGCGGCCCTCCTCGCACTGCCAAAGCCAGCTCTCACCGGAATGCTGCCTTTAAGCAAGTCCCCTGCCCAGTACGCCTTCCTGCCACTGCTGCTCCCCGCCCCTCCGCCCCCCCCATGCCTGCCGCTACTGCTGCTCCTCGCACTGACGCTCCCAAGCCCCCCCCTGCTGAAGCTGCTCCCGCTGCTGCTGCTGCTGCCCCCGCCTCCGCCCTTGTGCGCCTTCCGCTCAAACCGCCCGCTTCCCCTGAAGCTCCCCCCAATGGCTGCTCCGTCCATAGGCGCGCCCAGCTCCCCCGCGCCCAGGCCCCCCGCGGCGTGCCTGAGCAGGTGGAAGCCGCACCCGGGAATCTGCACCACGTCGAATTGAAACTCCCCCGACCCGCCCCCTTCCCCTTCTCCTTCCCCTTCCGCATCCGCATCCGCTCGCCCTTCATCACTCAACCCCTCTGCTTCTGCCGCTGCCGCTGCAGTTCCCGCCGCTGTTACTCTGCTGTGCTGTTTCTTCCCTTCCCCCTGCGACCCCAGGCTGCTTCCCTCCGTTCTCTTCCCCGCCCCTCCGCCCGCCCTCTGCGCCCTGCGCCAGTCGCGCTGCTTCCCCTCGCCCCGCTCCCGCTCAGCGGGCGCGCTAGAGAACCGCTTCAGGTTGTCCGAGCTCGCGGGGCGCGGAAGCCCGCAGCGCTTCCCCCCAGCCCCTCCGCTACCCCCCAGCCCCCCCCGAAAGATCCCCCTGCCCAGCCCCTCCTCCGCCCTACCCCGCGCGCCCCCGCCCGCGCCCGCGCCTGCGCCCCCCACGTCCCCGTCGCAGCTGCTGTTTCCGCCAATGCTGCCGTTGCTGCTGTGCCCCGCGCTGCTGCTGCCCGCGCCGCCGCTGCCAAAGCCGCTGGAGAGGAAAGATGAGTCTATAGAGAGGGAGAGCGAGGAGAAGGCGAGCGAATCTATTGACGCGCGCGCCCACGCCTCGTTGCGCCGCGACGACGACCCCACGCGCTGGTCTGACATGGGGATCGCGCCGAACGGGGGCAGCGCGGGCGGCGGGGAAGCGGACGGGGACGACGCGGAGAACGGCGGAGGGGAGGGGAAGGAGGGGGAGACTGGGGGGAGCGGGTAGGCGGAGTCGGCGGGAGGGTTGGAGGCATGGAGGGGGGAAGCGGAGGGGGAAGAGCAGGAGGAGGAGGCGGTGAGATGCAGGGATGGCATGGATAGGTTGGGGGGGAGAGGCGCGGGGCGGGATGCGCAGGCGGACGCGGAGGCGGAGGCGGAGGTGTACGAGGAGGGCGGCGGGGCCGGCCCTAGAGGGGCGGAGGAGGACGTGGGGAACGGAGCAGGGGAAGCGGCTCTGGCGGCGGAGGCGGAGGCGGAGGCAGAGGCGGAGGAAGCAAGGCGCGGCGGAGCGGGGGGCAGGTACCCGCGCGACTGCCAGATCTGGTGCAGCGCGGAGGCGGAAAGGACGCGGTCCGCGGGCACCCAGGGGGGCGGCGGCGGGCAGTCGTCCGCCAGCAGCTGCCACGCGCAGTGCGCCTGCGCCACCACCACCATGGCCGCTTGCATTCCCCCCGGCTCCTCGCCCAGCGGAAACTCCGCCTCGTCGTCCTCTGCCGGGGGAAGCGGGGGCGCGGAAGCGGAAGGGGAAAGAAAGGGCGGGGGGGGGTGAGGGGGAGGGGAGAGCGGCGCATCAGTACAGCACGCGGTACTAATGGGGGCGCCCCCCCGATCTCCTCCCGTCGCACAGCAGACCTCACGCAAAACAGGGAACACGCTACAGTGGGGCGATACACTGAACGAAGGGAAACCAACGGGAAGAATGGATTCAACCAAGGTTTAGGTTATGAAGGAGCCATACGAAGGTGCTAAACGATCAAACGATATGAAGGACGAAGCATTTCAGACGAGCCATGGCGCGCGCTCACCTTGATTCACGCAAGGCGCGAAGCGCACCCACTCCACGATCTGCTCCAGCACGGGTAACAGCACGGACGGTATCCCCGTCGCCCCCTCTTGTATCACACTCGCTAGAGCGTCCTCCGTGGAAACCACCACCACTACCCACGACAGCGCCCGCCGCCCCTCCGCGCTTGCCTCCGCTCCGCAGTCGCGTTCCGCTTCCCCCTCTCCTGCCCCTGAGCCTGCCGCGCTTCCTCCCCCACCCGCTCCCCCCTCCGCGCTCATCTCTGCGCGCGCCGGCCCCGCGACCGCGAACACCGCGAGCGGGCGCACGGAACAGACCTCCCCCGTGCGCATGCGCTTTCCGCCGATTTCGATCGCCTCGATCGGCCGCCCGTCGTTCACCAACCCCTCCCACACGCCGCCACTGCCTCCGCCGTCGCCGCCGCCGAAAATTCCGCCGGCGGCGTCCGCTCCCACGGGCTGCTCGGGGTCCGCGTACGTCTGCGGAAGGAACCCCACGTTGAACATCGAGTTCTCCGCGTAGTGCTGCGGCCGGAGCCGCGTCCAGTCCACCGCGGCGCGTTCCTTTAAGTCGCCCTCCTGCCGCGGCAGTCCGAGGTCCTCTCGCCTCGACGCCTCGCCGTCGCGGCTCGGCGCACCCTGCTGCCCGTGCGACGGCTGTTGCGGGTCCCGCAACTGCAGACCCGACGGCGACGGCGACGGCGACGAAACACCGCCGGCAGTGGCGGCGGCGGTGGCGGCGGCGGCGGGAGCGGGAGCGCGGTGTACGCGGATTGGCGTGTAGTCCTCGTCGGGCGCCGCCTCGTACTTGACCCAGCAGTCCTGCGGTGTCTTGCACACGAAGTGCAGCGCGCCGTTCTTAGCGTGCAGCGGCACGTGGTGCCACGGCGACACTAACTGCCCGTGAAAGTCAAGCAGCAACGAGCGGTAATTAAGAGACCCAGGATAACCGAACTCCACGCTAGTCCACGGGCACAGGCGCTCCAGCAGCGACGCGGCGTCGGAGGCGGCGGGGGTGGCGGAAGGGGAGCGGGAGTCGGAAGGGGAGGCAGCGGGCGGGGAGTCGAGGGAGTCGGAGCCGAGGATTGAGTCCCATGCGCGCGAGACGGAGGACGACGCGGTGGCCATGGCGCGACGCGCGATCGAGAGTGATGTGTAAGCGGCGGTAGAGGAGAAGAAGGGGGGGAGGTGAGGGGAGGGTGGGTGGGTGGGAGGGGGGGTGTTCGGGGGGGGGGGCTTGCTATACTAATAGAGGTGGTAGTGTGGGGTAAGGCTGGGTATAGTGACACGCGGCGCTTGTTACAATGAGGAGTTAGGGTTGGCGATATGGCGAGGAGAATGGGAATGACACGTGACTACTTGTACGGACGGCGTTTGCGCCCCGTCACCCGCTATTGACGCGGTTCTAAGTACAACGGACCCGTCGCACGCTAAGTACGCAGCCGAAGCGCGCGCTTTTCGCAAAAGTAACGCCGCGACGAGGAGATGTGCAGGCCGATCTAGAGCCAGCGGAAGACCAACTCGCCCAGAACTGCTGCTAGGACTTGGAATACGACCAAGGAAGGATGATGGAGGCACGAACATCAGTGCTCCTGCCCTATGCGCGCCTGTCGTTCTCACATGCGATCATTCGGAAAGCTCGAATGAGATAGCATCCACGTGCTATTGGTGCAGACATGAATGAGGTGAGACAGTCATCGAACAAGTGCCTCTTGAGAGGTCTGATCTAGACGCCACGCCATGGGTAGACCCCTCGCTGCTGCTGTTGTTGCCGTGCCTGATGCAGACAGCCGACCCATATCTGACGACATGGCGACGGTCTGGTCCCATCGCATTGCAAACCATGGCGAGTGGGGGAGGCTTGATGACATATCAATTCAGGGGAAGAGTCGGAGTGAACGCTAGTAAAGAAGGGGAGGGACACCATTTGGAGGAGGGGAGGGGAGGTGAGGGGAGGCAGGGGAGAGGTGGATGGAGGGGGGGGGAACAGGGTGATAGAACTGATCGGCTCGGGGACACGGGCCACCGCCGCACGAGTCACGACAAATGACGATGAGAGAAGTTGGTCGGTAGGGTTACGTTTGACACACAGCGGACCGTGTTTCGTCGGTCGCGGCGGCGAGTGTGCAGTAACGTCGAGTCTCAATCTGAACTGTCATGTCATCATCACATGTCGCGTAGTATGCATGCACCTCAATTTTTTAAAAATCACCTTATTGGGTGGTGTCTAGTTTTGTAGTCCATCTTACGGCAGTGGCGGACTTTGTTCAATATGATAACAAAGGCAAACCTGATTCATGATGGCAAGGTTGTTAGCAACGAAAGAAATTGGCATTGCACAGAGGCAGTCGAACTCGCAGATTGACATGTCGTCTTCTACACGTTCTTTGGGACTGTAGTGGCTACGAAACTGTGGGTCTAGGGAAAATATTAACGATTCACGATTTAAAACAACAATACAAAGTGTGGTTCTCTAACAAGCATTGGGTGTTGTGCACTACGGAAGCCCCTTTCTCATGAAGCACCCTGTCTACTTGCAGGAGGTTTCCTTCCTCCTTGGGAAAGAACTACTGACCATGAAGCATCTTCTTCATACAGATATGCAGTTGGAGAGATGCAGAACCAAAGGATGGATACAGAGGGAATTTGGGGGGAAAGAGGAGAAACATAGGGGGGATGGAGGATCGGGTGGGAAACGAAGGGTTTTGGGATAAAGTGGGAGTTTTAAACTGACCAGAACGGCAAGCAGGGACAACGAACAAAACGGAAACCCCGATTGCACCGCTGGACTCATCACGTAAGCTAGGACAGGTCACAGCTCGGTTACCCCTTGTTCAACTGTTGCGGTTGATTACGATTGTGTGCACTCTAGAGCGGTCAGTTTGCCTCACCGCTTTGAACAGATTCACCAGCCTGAACCGTGATACTTATACTACAAGTCTTATGGGCGCAATTGAAAGAGTGGATATAGGATTTGACTAAGGGGTCAAAATATATCTGGCGTGAGCTGAATATTAATAGCGAAAATATGCAGATCTGTTGCGAGCTAGCCTATGCAGATCTGGCAGTGAGGTTCTGCCTATTCAGGAGGCGTAGGCCGGCTCATTCTTGTATAACAGTGCATGGTTTGGCAACCTGGCTGCGAAGAGTCACTCGACAAAGGTAGTGAGCTAGACTACGGGGGGTTAGGCACGAACTACTATGAGTGATCGTAGCTTTGCTTGCGTTCCTTAGCACTTGCACATTCACGGGAGAATTTGGCAAGAGTTTCACTAGCAAAGTTGGAATTACAGAATGATTGAACAAGCAATGACAGAATTGACTACATCAGGCACCTAGCAACCCTGCAGCTAGCCTGGTCGACCGCCAGCACAGCTTGGTCGACCGCCAGCACAGCTTGGTCGACCGCCTGCCAGCGTTGCGTAGAGGAGCCGCGCCAGCACTGCAGAAGGGCGACCTGCCAACACTGCAGGTCGATGGCGTGCCAACGCTGCAGCAAAGCGGCTGTCCAGCGTTGCCCCGTAGAAGACACCAGTGCGCACGCTCGCAGGTGCGCGCAGACGATTGGCCCAACTTGCACCGTTGTGCATCCGTCGGCTGTTGTCTGCGCGTGACGAGCCACATCGACTTCGGGATACCAGCCCGAAGTCGCCTTCGCCATCGCGACCTCGACGACGATCGCGTGCCTCCGCAGAACTCGTCGAACAGGTTACCCGGTCGACCTGGTCGACCACCAAGTGCTCCGGTCGACCACCAGTGCTTCTCGTCGACCACTGGGTCCCTTTGGTCGACCACCAGGTCCCTCTGGTCGACCACAGCTCCCGTCGAGCTACCCCCTGGTCGACGGACCCCTTCCGTCGACCAGAACTATCAGCTGTTGTCGCCGAGCTCCCCTCGTCGACCGCTGCTCACTTGTCAGGTCGACAGGACTGCTCCGTCGACCTCCCGGTCGAACTGCCCCTCCTGGTCGACGGCCCACCCGTGGCCCAGACCAGTCAGTTGCAGCTGTCGAGCTCCCTGGTCGACAGCAACACCACAGCGGTCCCCTGCAGCTCGACCAAGCCTGTCGAGCAGCTCTCCCACTGTAAACGGTCGGCTGCTACTCCCGTACATCCGACCAAGTCGTCGGCGTTGCCCAAGCGAGGGCGAGGCCAACACTCCATTCCCGTTAACACTCCCCTGCCGCGCTCACGCTTGGGCCTCCAGCCCACACGGCAGTACTCCACGGAGAAAACTCGTTCTTGGCGTGCACCCCACTCACAGCACGCCGTCACCGCACCAGCCGTGCAGAAGGGCACGGCACCTACTGCTGCACCTCATCGTCGCCGTCGCCGACGTCGGCCAGTCGAACTTGGCCGATGACGACAGAGCGCCGGTTGAAAGCCGGAAAATGCAGCGCCTTCGTCAGGAAATCCGCCGGCTGCTCGGTGGTCGGGATGTACTTCAGCACGAACTTCCCGCGCCTCACCATGTGCTGCAGCCAGGCGTAGCGTCGCTCCATGTGCTTGAGGTTGCCCGTCAGCCCCAAGCCGTCAGCGACCGTGATCGCGACTTGTTGTCCACGCGGAGGACGGTCGGCTTCCCAGCGTCGAGCAGCTTGAACTATGCTAGGAGGAAGCGCAGTCGACGCCCCTCCTTGCCGGCGTCCGTGGCCGCGACATACTCTGACTCGGTCGAGGAGAGTGTCGCGCACTTGATGCGCTGGCTTGATCAGGAGACCGCGGCCCCTCCGAAGACGAACACGTAGCCGCCCGTGCTCGTCCGGTTCTGCTTGTCGCCCGCGTCATCGGCGTCCACGTAGCCGATCAGCTCCAGCGACTCTGGTCCACCGCCGAACGCCAGGGCGGTGTCGCGGGTGTCGGCGAGGTAGGCGAGGCAGCAGTCGACCTCGCGCCAATGCTGGTCGCTCCTCACCGTGAGGCCGCTCCCCAGCTTGCTGCAGGCGAACGCGATGTCCGGCCTCGTCGTCGTCGCCGCGAACTGCAGCGCGCCGACCTTCTGCCGGTACTCCTCCTCCTCGCGCTCCTGGGCCTCCTCGTCATCGAACGTCAGTTCACCGTAGGCGTCGACCGAGACCGGCGTCTTCGGTACTCGACCGCCCTGCTCCTCGTCGATGAAGCGCCTGCGCAGCTTGTCGGCGTAGCCCTGCTGGTGCAGCCACAGCTTCCTGGCCGGCCTGTCGCGCACGATCTCCAGCCCAAGGTACTTCACCACCGGCGAGATCTCACGCAGCTCGAAGGCGGCCACCAGCAGCTCCTTCAGCTCCTTCAGCACCGCGGTGCTGCTGCTGGCGGCAAGCAGGTCGTCGACGTAGACCAGCACCCAGCAGGTCACTCCGTCGTCGCCGGCCTTAAAGTAGAGCGCCTCGTCGACTTGGCTCTTCTTCCAGCCAGCCCCCAGCAGCACACCGTCGAGAGCCCTGTACCACAGCAGCAGCGACTGCTTCAGCCCGTAGAGGCTCTTCAACAGCTTGAACAGCCGGCCGGTCCCGTCGTCGAAGTAGTCCGGCTGGTACATGTACAGCACCCGGTCAAGCTTGCTCTGCAGGAAGGCGTTCTTCATGTCGAGCTACATCAGGTGGAGGTCGAGGACGGCGACGATACTGAGGAAGATCCTCAGCGTGACGTAGCTGCTCATCGGCGAGTACGTCTCGTCATAGTCAGCGCCGTACACCTGCGTGAAGCCCTTCACGACCAGCCTCGCTTTCTCGCGCTCGACGGTATCGTCGATGCGGTACTTGGTCGTCAGCACCCACCGGTTCTTCATGGTGTTCACTCTGCGTGGGCGTTCGACCAGCTCCCAAGTTCCCATGTCGATGAGGCTGCGGATCTCTTCTTCCATGGCGGCCTTCACCGCCTCGCCCTTCCAGCTCGCCAGCGCCTTCTTTACCGTCATCGTGGCGATGTCCCAGCGGTGTTCGGGGTCGGCATGCACGTCGGGGTCGAGCTCCGGCAGTTCTTCATCCTCCTCGGCGTCGTCGTACAACAGGTCGTCGTGGACCTCGTCGTACACCGTGGTGAAGGCAGCTGGCGGTAGGCAGACATGGAAGCTCAGCCGCTCCGACGGCCGTCGAGCTCGACCTGTGCGTCGCAGCTCCGGCTTCGTGATCGGCACCTCCACCACGTCGC